ACCATTGAAACACATTTGTTCAATGGAAGCTCAATCCGCCATTGAAGCATCTTCGTTGCAGTTAAAACTGAATTGACATGCGTTTTTAGCTTAAATCGAACTAGTTGTTAGTTTATTAATCAATTTTTCTTGTTCAAAACAAAAAATTGAGCAATCATAAGTTAGGTTTCAATTGGATTTGGACAATTATTTATCTCATATGCACATTGCAATGGATGGTATATGGGTCAATTAGAACATTGCATTGGGTAAGTAACGTAACATCCCACAGTGGTTGAATCGAAGTGAATCGTTGATGATTAGTAGATTTCTGAGTACTACTGAGTACTACTCGTTAATGTATTGGTACAACTAAGAAGTTTTTACTATATTGTTTGTTTACTATTTTAATTTTCATGTCAAAAAAATTTATATATTTTTAACAACAATTAGTAATTTAATTGATGAATGAATATTTTTTAAAAAAAATTGATATGTATTTTTGGCAACAAAAAATATTTTACTAGTAAAATAAATGTTTCATGTCATATAATAAGTAATATTTAGTATTAAAAAATCATAAATATTAATTTTTTGTTTTGAAATTTCTTAATAAAAGCACAATATTAGTTATTTTATTTCTCTATAATTGATATTTTAAAAATATTCGATTTATGCAATTTCATATTTTGAATCTTTTATCAATCACCTTATACTTTTAAGAGAGGTTTCATAATGCTATATACCTTCTTATGCAAAAATTGATAGGAAATGTGGTCTTCCACATATTTTTGACATGGAAACATAAGAAATGTGATTCTAGTTCCAAAAATCACATGTACAACTGAAAATTTGTTTTTCATAACAAGGTAAAACTAAAAAAATAGCGAAACCCCAAAAGTACAACTATTAACAAATGTGGACAACTAAAAAACTGGCGCATAACTATGTGTTACATAACGAGCACATGTCTTAATTACGTGGCAGATGAAAATGCACATGTGTTAGATATTCCAAGAAACAACGCCAAGTGTCCTAATTTGATTGGGGTTGACCCAATTTTATTTTTTTTATCTTATTTTGAAATTGATACTTTTTTTTCAAATTCAAATCCAAAATAAATTTTTATATTTTTTCAAGTATTTAGTTTTTTTTTTGCCGCACAATGTGTTAGAATTTATTTATATATAAAACTAATTATTTTTGTCAATTTATGTTTCATTGATTTTGTTAGTTTAGTTGTACCCAATAGTTCTAGTTGTACATATGTTCACAGTTGTACCTAGTAGTTCACAGTTGTACCGAGTAAATCTAGTTCAATTTTTAGATTCATGAAATTTTCAATTTAGTAATTGTAACTGTTGAACTAGATGACATCGACAATTTTAAGGAGATTTAAGCCACCAGAGGAGGTGTCAATCATGAGAAAACTTGAGATCTAACTCGACGACTTTCATGGAATTAAAATCTATGTAACTAGCCTGAAGAATCCAATAAATCTCTCATCCCATAAAACTTCCATAGACCCACGAGTTCTCTTATGAATGGCCATAATCCTCTGCAAGTCACGGTCGCCGCTTTTAGAGTCGATGGCTTGTACATGATTGTCCGTCATATCCAATTATGTGATAGTGTGGCTGGAAATTAGCGAAAAAATCATTGACGATTTGGGCAATGACGCCATCGGAAAGATATAGAAGCA